ACTTCGCTTATCTGTGTTCCTGGTGTCTTCCCAGCCATGTTGAGTTACTGCCGTGCCTTCACATTTGGAATTCTTACTCCTGCCCTGCCAAACTAATTACCTCATCTTGCCTTGATTGGAGTTATAGTTACAGTTTTTGTTGACCGCGTTTTGGACTTGATTCTCTGCAGCCAAAGGATGTTCACCTGGGAGAGTTTTTCTCCAGCCCAGATATCGGGGGCAAAGCCGGAGCTAATAAAGGATATCCAGGATATCGGGGGCAAAGCCGGAGCTAATAAAGGGACTCCTACTGATTATCTGACTGTGTTGCCTTTGTGCCATGCCCCGGGTCATCATAGAGGCTTTTTCCCAAAGGTGAGTGAAACAAACTATCTCCATCACACACTGTGAAATTAAAGGGTATGTGTATACACCCACACCCACCCAACATGAAGTACTAGTGCACAAGGGGAAGGTTGATATAGCTGCCATTCTCTCTCCCATAGAGCAGGAGAGGAGGCTCCTGCTGAAAGTGAAGGAGGAGGAGGCCAAGCCAGGAAGTCCTTCACACTGATTCATCTTGTGCACCATTTGTGACCATCTAATAAAATAGCATTTTGGTGACAATATTTGCTATTCTAGGATCTCTCCTCTTAAAACGATTTGGACAATTTTCTCGTGCATCGGCAGCTTTAAAAGAAGTAATGTTTGGACTTAAGAGAACCTGCAAAAGCTTTCTGTATAAAAATGTGTGACCCGTGAAAACACTTTTTATACAGAAAGTTATTACAGTAGCCAATCTGTGACAGCAGGAACTTTTATTGATTCACAGCTCATGTGGGTCTGTCTTTGAAACTAGACAGAAATTATTTGTGCTTGTGTAGAATATTTGTAGCTTAGGGCTAGAATGTTGGTTTGTAGTTCTCAGGGCTTGTTTTTTTTTTTTTCCCCCATTTCCATGGGTTTTATTACACACTTAGGAATCCTCTCCAGTGCTTTGATCTTAGAGAATAAATGGGTTGCTTGTGAAAAAAAGCTGCTAGGCTTGTCTCACTGTTTGAAACACATTTCTCTTGTGCTTGAATCTGTATGTACTATCTCCTGCTCGGCTGCCAAGCACAATTTCTGGTGTAGCAGCAACTGTTCATTTCAGAACCCAAGACCTTTTCTGGGTTTCAAAGGCCTGGAATTGAGGCCACAGTGTATAACCTGAAATGACACTGATTTTTCATTTCACAGACCATTCATTTACATGCCGCCTGCCTCACTATCACAACTGACTCTGGATGGTTTACAGTAAAATAAAAATATTTGTAGAAAGTTGTAGAAATTGGAGAAACTCACCCTTCTCCTAGAAGAATGAAACATTCCAGGAAATATTAAAAAGATAGAATATTATACAGCTCCAGGGTGATAGGATTAGCCCTCATTCAAGACCCAAACCAGGACAAAGCCATTAAGCCATAATAGGAATTGCCCAACACTCTTTCAGAACCCAACCCTCATCATTGCATTATCACCCAGCAAGATTCAACCAAGCCTGGGACACAGACGGCCTACCAGATTAGCTGGGCCCCTGCATGGCCCCCAGGGAGTCTGACAACCAACAGGATATATTTCTTGCAAGGCCCAAGAGAGGGTATAAATATATCTCTCTCTCCACTCCCTGTGCTCAGCTGCACCAGGACCAGGTGCTTAAAGATTCTGCTCCATTAAACCATCCTTCCAAGCAGTCTCCATGTTTCCAGTGTTTTTCTTCCCACTTGGAACTGAACCCAGAGGGACTGTCAGATCCGTGTATCCGCCATTCTTCAATGGAAGAAGTGTGGGGGTGGGGGGGGTGAGAGTTAGTACAAGTAATCCTTTTTGATGCAACCTGAATATTTTAAGTCTTGTATTGAATCTGTACAACTTGCACATGATATACAACTGGAGGACTGGAGCCAGGTCTGGAAACTTGTCACCTCTTGGAGAGACAGCAAGAGGAGAAGGGACCATAAAAATTCCAGCTTTGAAAGAAACTTCCTGAGAAATTTTTCTCAACTACATTCAAAGAAAAAAAAAAGTGTGTGTGGGGGAAATTAACATTGCTTCTTTGTATTGATGAAATCCACATCAAATTAAGGGGAGGGGTTCTAACTCTCTTTATCTATGCTGCACACCTGGAGGCATATTAGACCCTGCTTTGATTATTACCTGGCTATCTTCCTTTTCAATAAAGAATTCCTTTTGAAATACCCAGTTTTGAGAAGTTCATTCTTATCATTTGAAGGGGAGAGAGCCTGGGCCTTACAGGGACATTTCTTCCTACACATTAAAAGGATTAAAATTAATGTAAAATTAATTAAGAGCTGTGATGGCACCATGGTTAGAATGCAGTATTGTAGGCTAATTCTGCTGACTGCCAGCAGTTCAAATCTCACCAGGCTCAAGGTTGGACTTAACTTTCCGTCCTTCCGAGATGGGTAAAATGAGGACCCAGATTGTTGGGGGCAAGAGGCTGACTCTGTAAACCGCTTAGATGGGGCTGTAAAGCACTATAAAGCTTTAAAGCACGTGCTATTAAAAATAATTAAATAGGTTAACACCAAAAATATATGGTGGGGAGGGTGGACCTTCAATCAACTGATTGATTTATTTCCAATCAACCACTTCTAGTGCAGCGTGTCCCATTGTGGCTCCAGTAAGGCTTTCCTGGAAGAGCAGAGGTCTTAAGACTTCAGTTCAAGAGGCAAAATATTTCAGGGAGCACAGCAGATGTGTGGATTCTTTAGATATAAATTGAAGTATCCACTCTTTAAAAAATTATATCTACACTGCAGATATTGATAGGGGCTTCCTCCTTTGTGGAGTCTTTGATGTGTTGTGAACTCTCCACCGTTAACAGAATTCTTTCCACACAAATGCTTGCATTTTATACAGTTTTCCTTCCATGTGAATTCTTTTGAGTCCATTCACAAGAAACACTGGCAGTGGCAGAGCTAAATTATTGGGTGATCCTAGATGGCTCAATTCATAAGCACGGCAAATACTGCCAGCAGAAGTCCAATCAAGACAGGATATTTTGAAACTCCTTGCGGTAAAGTTTGACAGCTGACAAAAGCAGAATGGTAGGATTAGAACAAGAAGCCCCTCACCCAAGATCCAACCCAGGACGAAAGCCATTAGCCACACCATAGGAATTGCCCAAGACCCTTTCAGAACACAAACCCCCTTCATTGCACAACCCCCAGAACAGTTCAAACGTCAAAGTCACAGAAACCTAAAAAGATCCATCCACTCATTCAACCATTTGAGTCAGCTGTCCCAGAACCACAAATCCCGGTGATTCTGTTCATTAATAGCGTATTCATAAATTAGAATTTGTCAAACAAAAATGAGAACAAGAATAGAAGAATTAAATTACAATGACAGGGACCAGAGGAACGTTAATGCACTTATTCACACACCCTCTACTCACTCCTTAAGTATGAAGCAAGGTCCACAGAAGTCAATTTTGATTGAAACTGTGAAAATTTGTAGCTGAGACAACTGAATCAGGTAGAACATTCCAGATTTTGACAACTCTATTACAGAAATGATATTTTTAGTTAAGTTTAAAGCGATTTACAATGAGTTTAAAGTGGTTGTTTGCGTGCGTGTTATTACTATTAAAACAGAAACAGTCATTTACAGGTAAAACATTACTATGTATAATTTTGTATGCAATCCCTAGGTCTGACCGCAAGCGACACAGTTCTAAATTATCCAAACCGAGAATTTCAAGCCTAGTAGTGTGGGAAGTTAAAATCTACCCCTCTTCTAGAAAAAATGAAATATTTTAGGATATATTAAAAAGGCAGAATATTTCCCCTAAGAGAAGTAGAAACTCAGAGGAAGAAACTCACCCCCCACCTTTGTTAATGGCCCATTAAGGCCTGGGCCAGTCTATTCTACATAACAAAGATCTATCTCCTTTAGGCAGAGCCATTCAATTGCCCTTCATTGCACCACCCACTAAGTTTCAACCAAAGTTTCCAGTGTCTTTTTTCCTCACTTGGAACTGAACCTAGATTTCTTCCAACAGTAGCACAGGGAATATTTCTTTCCAATCAGCCTGCATTTTATTTCCGGCTTCTTTCCTCCCAGCTTGGAACTGAACCAGTTGGATTTTCCTTCCAACACTGCCTTTCTTCAATGGGCCTGTATTGTTCCCACTTTTCTCAGTGAACGGGGTTCAGGTCATGTCCCATCCTTCTTCATCCCTTCACGTGAGCTAAAGGTATTTTGTTTGTGAATAGATTGGCCCAGATTTCTTCCATTTTTAGGGGGGTGTTTATAAATATTTTTATTGTTTTGTATCACAAATTCCATTTCTATATTGAACAGTGTGTTTTCTAGGTGTCCAAAATGTTAAAATATAAACACAAATACCAATTTCTACAGACTTTTTGCCTCTGCTTGGAGACTGTTTTACTATGCAGGAAGCACCATTTCTCCTTTTGGGGAAATATAATATTCTGCCTCTTTTTAATATTACCCAAAATATTTCATTCTCTGACCGGGGGCGGGGCGGGGAGTTTACTATTATGTTCAGCTCGTAGTATTTTTTCCAAGCCATTCACGGCTGCTCTACCAAATGATGGTCTGCGGCAGAGGTCCCCAAACTTGGCCCCTTTAAGACTTGTGGACTTCAACTCCCAGAATTCTCCAGCCAGCTATGCTGAGTTGTTTTGATTCTGTAAAATGGGAGTTGAAGTCCACAAGTCTTAAAGGGGCCAAGTTTGGAGGCCTCTGGTCTGGGGACGTTAACCACGGTTTATTCCTTTCCTGGCCTCCCCCCCCCCCCCCCCCGCGCCCCTCCGCCAAACCAGACCTCGGCCTCGCCGTCTCCCTCTCCCCCGACTCCCGCGCTTCCCAGCATGCCCCGGGGTTAAACTGCCACTCCGAGCACTTCCGTCGCCGACCAAAGAAACTCCTTCCGTCGCAGCTCCGATTCCGGATGTGGAAGAGGCGGGACTCTCCCGCCAATCGCCGGCGCCGTCACCCGAGCGACCAATCGGCGTCCTCCCCCTCCCTCTCTTTTTCCGCGAGCGAGATGGCGGCCAGCGCGGTGCGGAGGGGCCTTTTGGGCCCGGCGCGGAGGTGAGGCCTCGGCCTCGATTTTCGTGCCCTCCGGCTGAGGGCGGTGGGGGTGGGGGGCAGCGTCTCATTTCCCATCCCGGGGCGAGGGTCTCAAGCCTCCTCCTTCTCTTTCAGGCTCGCCGGGTCGCGGCGTTTCAGCAGCGGGGGAGGCTATCCGGGCACCCCGCTGACGGCCCCTCTGCCGGGGCTGCCCCAGCCCGCCTTCGCCGGCCTGGACGGGCCGGAGGGCTTCGAGACGGAGGTCAGCGCCTTGGAGGGCGGGCTGCGCGTGGCCTCCCAGAAGAGGTTCGGACAGTTCTGCACCCTGGGCGGTAAGGGGGCGCCGGGAGGGCGGCTGAGGAGGCGGCTGCGGCGGGTGGAAGCGACGCCGGGGGGGCCCGCAGCTGAGTCTTCTCCTCCTCCTCCTCCTCCCCTCACCCCCTTTTCTGCCCTTGGAACAGTCCTGATCAACTCCGGGTCGAGATACGAAGCCAAGTACCCCGGCGGGATCTCGCACTTTCTGGAGAAGTTGGCCTTTTCGGTAAGTGGCCCCTTCGGGAATCGGGCTTGGAAAAGCGAAAGGCCGGGCTGAGAAGACAAGCCCGGCGGGGGCTGAAACAGAATGGAAGTCCTCCTGAAATAGGATAGGAATGAGGAGGGGAGCTATCAGGAATAGAATGATTAGGAATAGAATAGAAATAAAATAGGAATAGAACAGAATTAATAGGAATAGAATGCCGGAATAGAGCTGGAAGGGACCTCGGAGATCATCTAGTCCAGCCCCCTGCTCAAGCAGGAGAACCTATGCCATCTCTGTCACCGTCCAGTCTCTTCTTAAAAGCCTCCAGCGATGGAGCGGCCACGGATTCTAAAGGCTAAATTCTGTTCCCCTGGTTAATTGTCCTCCCTGTGAAGAAGTTTCTCCTTAATTCCAGGTTGCATCTCTCCTTGATTAATTCCCATCCCTTGTTTCTTGTCCTGCTTCCCTGGTACTTTTGACAATAATTTGTCCCCCTCTTCTCTGTGGCAGCCCCTCAAATACTGGAAGGCTGCTATCATGCCTTCCTTGGTCCTTCTTTTCATTAAACTGGACATACCCAGTTCCTGCAGCCGTTCTTTACATGTTTTATCCCCCAGTCCCCTAATCATCCTGGTTGCTCTTCTCTGCGCTCTTTCCAGAGTCTTAACATCTTTTTTACTTGGTGGTGACCAAAACTGGATGCCATATTCCAAGGGTGGCCTTAGCAAATCATTATAAAGTGGTATTAACACTTCACGTGATCTTGATTTTATGCCTCTGTTTATACAACCTAGGGTTGCATTAGCTTTTTTTTGGGTGGTGGTGGCACATTGGTGCAATTCGTCTCCAAAAGGTGCCAGCAAATCTGATGTTAACACTCCAGGGAAATTGGTTATTGCATGTAACCGCTGAACTGCATATAATTTAGTTAATTTTTATTTAGCCTTCTTGGCCCAGTTCTCCCTGAAAAAAATGAACTCCTTTGCTTTTGTTTCCTCCTTTTCTCTTTAGTCTACAGCTCAGTTTAGCAGCAAGGATGATATTCTTCTCACGCTGGAGAAGCACGGAGGCATTTGTGATTGCCAGGTGTCAAGGTCTGTTTCCTTGTTAGGCGTCCTTTGGCCAGGTGGTGCTTTGACAAATCCAAGTCAAGCGATGCTGGCTTTTGACTGGAAGAGGGGGCACCTATTGCATTTAGCATACTTTTTCCTAGCTCTCATTTTAGCTCTCATTTGACCTTATTATATAATTGCATACTTTTCCTAGCTCTCATTTTACTATGGAATCACCTCCATCCTACACAGGGAGGCTTAATGTCATTTGAGTTTGGTTTGAGTGATGCAGTGTGCCATTTTTCACACAAGACTTGTAAAGTTCCTTGTTTGCAGGGTCTTAAACATGCCTGTACCAGTAGAACATAAAACCGATTTGCTCTTCTTTCAGGGATACCACAATGTATGCCGTTTCTGCAGATAGCAAGGGCCTTGACGCCATGGTCAGTCTCTTGGCTGATGTGGTTCTCCAGCCCAGACTGTCAGGTAATAAACAAAACAAAAAAAGAAATAGTTAAAAAAGTAGATTGCCAGGTGAGATCGTCTTCTGTGACTAAAGAGAAGAGAGCAAGAGCCAGGCAGGATTTTGCTGCCCCACCTGAACACAGATTGCGTTGCCATAAAGGTGTTAGTGATTTCTGCCAGCAGAGAACATGGTACAGTGGCAAAATTTGGAAGGACAGGAGTGGGAGAGGCCATGATGGTGGGAGGGGAATAGGTGGGGGTGCCCAATCCGATTTATCAGCTGGGAAGAGAAACAAGGGTTGATTTGGTGTGGGATTTGGTGGCTGAGAATTGGGAGCTATTTTCCTCCCTGTCCAAGGAGTTTGGGCCACTGTCCCTTGGGAGGAGGTTGGTCCCAAAGGGTTGGCTTCTCTTGGCAGATGAGGAAATCGAGATGACTCGTATGGCAGTCCGCTTTGAGCTGCAGGACCTGAACATGAGACCCGATCCAGAGCCGTTGCTGACCGAGATGATCCATGCCGTAAGGCCCTCTGGCATTCTGCCTCCTGCTGCCCCTGAGCCCCTCAATGACCTCCTCCTAATTGCCTGGCTTGAATTGGGGGGGGGGGACAAGTGGGGGAAGGACACTGTTATCAGCATGCTGGGCAGGGCAACCCCTAAGTCATTTGAGGGGCCCATGGTGACTTCCTCGGCGTTGTTGAAAATTCCCTTTTCAGCGGTGTGGATGCAGGACCTGAAATAATTTTCAAGCGAGGCCCAAGTTTGCCATTTTTATGATAAGCAATAGGGGTTCATCGTCTGAGGTGGGGCACAATAAGATCAAACAATACCTTGTTTTGCTAATTGTTTTGCAGTCTTGGGGAGTGAAAGGAAATATTCAGTCCAGGGGGGGGGTGCAGCATTGGGGAATGCAGAGTCAACCTGGGGCGTTGGGTGAGCGTGGGTATGCACGCTGCCCCCCCCCCCCCCCCAAAAAAGCTGCATCTTTCCTTCCAACTGTCGGGTTGACACTGGGGGTGGGGAGGAGATGGACACTTGATTCCTCCTTAAATGAAACCTGTATTTTGCTGGGATTGTGCAGCCCAAGATGAGATCCACCGTCTTTGAGGAGGTGCCGCACTGCTGCAAGGCCCCTTTTGGGGTCCAAAGCACTTCACACTGAGAACGGCTTGCGGGCTGTGACTGACATAGGGGGCAGAGGAAGATTCCTTCAAAGAGCTGGGAAGCAGGAGGTTCTCAGTAGCTCAGGCCATGGATCAGGGAGACCTGGGTTCAAATCCAGCTTTATCACACAGCTGCATAAAAGTGGAACCCGTCGCAAAATGCTTAGAAGAGCCTTTAGGAGACGTTGGTTTCCCGGGTAGGGTGGCTCCCTTGTGCTTACTAGAGCCCACCTCCCCTGCTCTGCTGCCCAAAGCCCCTTGGGGAATTTCACCGGCCTCCCCAGCCTTAGGGTTTCTCTCGCTCCGCTTGTGGCGCAGTGGTTAGAGTGCAGGACTGCAGGCTCCTTCTGCTGCCTGCAATTTGGCAGTTCGAATCTCACCAGGCTCCAAGTTGACTCAGCCTCCCGTCCTTCCGAGGTGGGTAAAAGGGGGATGCAGATTGTTGGGGGCAAAAGGCTGAGCCTGTAAACTGCTTAGAGGGGACTGTCAAGCCCTGTGAAGCGGTATATAAGTCTTATTGCTATCGCTTGTGTCTCTGGGTCCATTCATTGCTGATTCTGAGGATGCAACTTGGGCCAGACGGGGGGTGTCAGGTGAGGCTCCATTCAAACTCTAAGAAAGGAAACTTTAGACTCCCTTGTTATAGGGAAAAGGACTTTTACTGGAAATTGAAGTGGTAGCAGCAGAAGAAATATACGATCTGAGGCATTAGGCGCAAAAATCACATATAGAAAGTTATGCCAATGTTCCCACCCCCAATAGTTCAAACCGCCCATGCAATCTGACCGTTGACCTTGGCTTGGATAAGGAGCTACGTCTGCGCAGTAAGCGTAGTCAAGAAAACACCCCAACGTTTACATTTCACCAACTTAAACCTCCAGCAACCTTCCCCCCACGAAGCTCAATTATTCTTCCCCCATTTCTATGGCAGTCGGAAAGACAAGCCGAAGAAGGATTCTTGGAGGCTGACAGCTGTATTTTTATCCGTAAAATCGAGCAGCGAGGGCCCTTCCCGTGTCTTGGTGCACGTGGCCAACCGTAATCCTGAAGCAAGGAAGCGAGGTCACAAATGTTTTGTCATTGCCTGGTTTTGTTTGAAAATCATGTTTGTTTCTCCTGGTCTCCCACAGGCAGCCTACAGGGAGAACACTGTGGGACTGAACAGGTTCTGCCCCGCAGACAACATCGAGAAGATTGACAGAACGGTTCTCCACTCGTACCTGAGGAATTACTACACCCCTAACAGGATGGTGTTGGCTGGCGTGGGGGTGGAACACCAGCAGCTGGTGGACTGTGCTCGCAAGTACTTCCTGGGTGCCGTTCCAGCCTGGGGAAGTGGGGAAGCCAAGGATGTGGACAAGTCCGTTGCCCAGTACACGGGAGGGATCCTGAAGGTGAGGAAGGGAAGGCGGCCTCTGCTTTTCTTGCCAAGCTCTGCAGAAAGGGCAGAAAAACGAACCTGCAGCTGGAGATCAGTTCAGGGCCAGGACTTTTGCTCGGCATGTTGGGAAGTAGTGCCTCCTTTGCATCTCTTGGGTTTCGTAAAATGATTTGTTACGATTTAAAATTGGGTTTAAAATTGCCTTAAACTTGTTCTCAGGGCAGCTAAAACAAAGTTAAAGTGATAAAAATCTGGGAAGGATCAGTGGTGGGATTCAAATACTTTAACAACCTGTTCTCTGCCCTAATGACTGGCTGGGTGGGCATAGCCAGGGGTGTGGAACAGGCAGCACTCGGCCTCCTGCCCCCCCCCCCCCGGGAACAAAACCGGGCCGTGGGGGAGGGCGCCAAACCCCATTTTGGGCCTCCCTGCACTTACCTGGGAGCCCAAACGGGGTGCATGGGGACTCCTGGGTGGGGAAGGCCAGCAATTTAACAACCAGTTCAGCCAAAATGGTGCGAACCGGTTGAATCCCACCACTGGGAAGGATGTGCAGTACAGGTCGTTCTTGACTTATGACTGTTTGTTCAGTGACAGTTTGAAATTATGACGGGGTGAACAAAGAGACTTGCAACCTCCCGCCTCAGCATTGCAGCAGCCCTGCATTCCCGTGCTTGCCAGCCCGTTTGCACGTAGGATGGGCTGCCATCCTACCAATTGATCATTCTTTATTTGGGACTGCAGGATTCCAGCTCCAGCTTCGTTCTCAGGGTGAGAGAGAGAGAGACTTTTGGCTTCATGCAAGGAAAGCAGCAGATGCAGCAGAAGTCTTTTTTCTCTCCCCCAAACTCCGCCATGAATGAATCTTGGTGAGACTTGTCATGCCGGCGCAGCCTCTTGGGGCAGGAGGCCTTGCAGGGTCCCAAAGACTCGTTTCTGGCGGAGTTTGGGGGAGAGAAAGAAAGACTTTGGCTGCTTTCCTTGCGTGCAGCCTAAAGCAGAAGAAGGAAGAAGCAGCCCGATGGCCAGGCGAGATGTGTGGGGTGAATGGGGCAAGTTCCCCCCTCCCTTTCCCCCCTCCCCTCGCTACATCATGTTCGCAATGCAAGCGACACAAGTCTTGTGTTCCCGCGGGCCATGTGGGCAGCACAGCCTTGTGTTCCCGCGCAGCCTGGATTAATTGCTTTGGGAGTGACATTTCTCTGTGGACCACCAGAATTTTCTTGGGGACCACCAGTGGTCCCCAGCCCATTGGTTGGCAACCACTGCTCTAGAGCAGGGGCCTCCAACCTTGGCAACTTTAAGTCTGGTGGACTTCAACTCCCAGAAGACACCCCTTCTCTAGAGCCAATGGTCAGCTAGTTGCACAAAAGCCCAATGCCCACAGAATCTCTCCCTCTCTCTGCAGCTGGAGAAGGACATGTCAGATGTGAGTTTAGGGCCCACCCCCATCCCAGAGTTGGCCCACATCATGATTGGACTGGAAAGCTGCTCGTTCCTGGTAAGCGTCCCCCTCCCCCGTCTGGCTGGGGCGGCCCTTTTGCTCAGACATCCCGAGTGACCATCTGGTTTGGCTTCCCCGGTTCAGGAGGAAGACTTCATCCCCTTCGCCGTCTTAAACATGATGATGGGGGGCGGCGGCTCTTTCTCTGCTGGAGGCCCCGGCAAAGGCATGTTCACACGGCTGTACCTCAACGTCCTCAACCGGTATGTCCCTGGGCTTCTCAGAAGGAAGAGCAGACCCAAGCTGAGCCCGGGGACGGTGGTGGGAGGGGCCCTCTCACATTGCTCGGGGGGACCTTCCGTTTGGAGGTTTGGGGTGTGTGTGTCCAAACAGAGAAAGGAGTAAGACTGTGTAGCTAGTTTACACATTGTGTGTGGAGGGGGGGGGGGCGGTTGGCTAACCCAGCGGTGATAGAGCTCCTGAGTCATGCTAAGCCAGCTGTAAGGCCCCGACTCTCTCCTTCAAACGATAAGAATGAACTTCAGAAAGCTGGGTATTTCAAAAGGAATTCTTTATTGAAAAAGAAGATAGCCAGGCAATGTTCAAAGCAGGATCTGATATCCTTCCAGGCATGCAGCTTAGATAAAGGGAGTTAGAACCCCTCCCCTTAGCCTGATGTGGATTTCATCAATACAAAGAAGCAACATGTTTATTTCCCCCCCCCCCTCCTTTTTTTTCTGGGAACGTAGTTGAGAAGTTTCCCAGGAAGTTTCTTTTGGAGTTGGAATTTTTATGGTCTCTTCTCCTCTTGCTATCTCTCTCAAGAGGTGACAAGTTTCCAGGCAACCGGTCTTCAGTCCCCCAGTTGTATATCATGTGCAAATTATACAGATTCAGTACAAGACTTAAGATATTCAAGTTACATCAAAAAAAGATTACTTGTACCAACTCCCCCCTCCCCCCCTTCTTCCTCCATTGAAGAATGGCAGATACACGGATCTGACATCAGCCATCAATTATGGCTTTACAAACGGACCACAGGCTAAAGCCAAACCAAGTCAACCACTTTCGCTTATCACAGTATGTGAACCAGGCCTGTAGTTTGAGCCTTACAAGGTAGACCAGACAGGTGCCATGTAGGCTTAAAGCCACTTTTACTCCAGTGTTGATAGGAGTAGAATCTTGCAGGTCTGAATATGCTTCCCACCATCCCACTTCAGGTGAATTGGGGTTGCTGCCTTAAGCATTTTTGCAAGTCTCTTTCCTAGTGTGAGCTTAAGCCACGTTGATCTGTTTGTTGCTGTGACAATGGATCCTCCCTCTGCTCTCCAGGCACCGTCACCACAATGAGCCTGTCTGTTAACTTGAAGGGTCCTGAGAATGTCCCCTAAGCCAGGCAAACTCCTTGGGGCTGCAGTCTCCCACTAGAGTCACTCCTTCAGCGTTCCCAGTTGTCTGGATACTACGTGGGTTGTGTCCCCCTCCAGCTTCCCCAGGACTTTCCAGGTTTCCCATTCTGCCCCGGGTGAGGATCGATCGATGGGTGTCACCGGCACATTGAGCTACTTCGTCCTGTACCAGTGGGAGGGGGTCTTTCTCCTGTTCAGCTCCATTGGAGAGAGGGCTGTGAGCCCTGAGGGACCCCTACTGAAGCTCCAGGCGAGTTGAATCTTCTCCACGGAGCCTCCAAGGGAACCATCTGCTCCAGGAGAAGGAGAGCTACCGTGTAATGATGTCCCCCCCAGCAGTCCTGGAGAACCCTGGAGTCAGAAGCCTGCTGAGAAAGTCGTACTGCCACCCTCCAGGTTCAGACCATCCGTGAGACGGACCAGTGTGGTTTCCATCCCACCCCAGGCTTGACTCTTGGTTGCTCTGGGTCCAGATATCTCTGTCCTCTTTGTGGTGACTGACCAGCCCTTTCCTTGGCAAGATCTCCAGAAAGAGGCATCTGGAACCGCAGATCCACAGTGGACCTTTCCTGTGTTCTCCCAATAAATGTAGCCTGAGTGAATGAATGCACCTGCGAGTTGGGCAGAATTCTTCAGGAATCAGATACCCTTGGCCCTCCTTTCTGCATCATAGCAGCCTTCCCTGGGCTGGGGCTGATAGGACATGTGGTCCGACTCTTGAGGAGGGGGGCCCACAGTTGCGAGAGGCTCTTGCGGGGCCTTGCAAGGCTGCTGGTAATTCCCCCTGTCCCCTTCTCTGCTGCTCTCTCGCTCTCTCCCAGGCACCACTGGATGTACAATGCCACCTCCTACCACCACAGCTACGAGGACACCGGCCTCCTGTGCATTCACGCCAGCGCGGATCCCAGACAGGTGAACGGGTCCTCCGAACGGATCCCTCGCCTGCTAGGCCTGGCCTCTCTCAGCCCTTTGGAGATTGGGCTGCATCTCCCAGGCCAGCAGGCGAGCGAGGGAGGGGAGCAGCCATTCCCAGTGCCCCCTGGCCTGGCGAGCGGGAGGCCTCCTCTCCTGCCCTCCCCCCGGGGGTCCCCCCCCCCCCAAAGCTCTCCGCCCTTCAGGGAGGGGAAAGGCCTTGGCCGGGTTCTCACGCCCAGCTCCAACACGTCTCCTCCTCGGATTGCAGGTCCGGGAAATGGTGGAGATCATCACCCGGGAATTTGTGTTAATGGCTGGAACCTTGGGAGAGGTAAGAGGTTGGGGAGGAAGGTTTACGTCGGGGCTTTGGGCTCGGATGGGAGCCTCCCTTTGGAGCCTGAAGCAGCCCCATTGCCTCTCCGTCTAGGTTGAGCTGGAACGGGCCAAGACCCAGTTGCGGTCCATGCTGATGATGAACCTGGAGTCTCGGCCGGTCATTTTTGAGGATGTTGGGAGGCAGGTCTTGGCCACGGGAGGCAGGAAGCTGCCACAGGAGCTCTGCGTCCTGATCGGTAAGTGCCAGGCTCGATGGAGCCTCCCCTCTCGAGGGGAGGGAAGTTCGGGGAGGGGGGGCCCTGGTTTCTGAGTGCTTCCGAAGTGAGCCCACCTCCCCTGCTCTGCTGCCCAAAACCTCTTGTGGAATTTCACCGGCCTCCCCAGCCCGAGTGGCTTCCCCTTGGGCTTTCTCTTGCTCCGCTTGTGGCACAGTGGTCAGAGCGCAGTACTGCAGGCTATACTTCTGCCTGCCTGCCGGCTGCCTGCAATTTGGCAGTTTGAATCTCACCAGGCTCCAGGTTGGCTCAGCCTCCCGTCCTTCCAAGGTGGGTCAAAGGAGGACCCAGATGCTTGGGGGGCAAAGGCTGACTCTGTAAAGCTGCTTAGAGAGGGCTGTAGAAGCACTGTGAAGCAGTATATAAGTGCTATTGTTATCCACCCTATCCATCCTATCTATCTATCTATCTATCTATCATCTATCTATCTATCTATCATCTATCCATCCATCCATCCATCCATCGTATCTATCCATCCATTCATCCATCCATCTATCTATCCATCCACCTATCTATCAATCTATCTATCATCCATCTATCATCTATCTATCTATCTATCTATCTCTATCTATCTATCTATCTATCTATCTATCTATCTATCTATCTATCTATCTATCTATCTATCATCTATCTATCTATCTATCTATCTATCTATCTATCTATCATCTATCTATCTATCTATCTATCATCTATCCATCCATCCATCCATCGTATCTATCCATCCATTCATCCATCCATCTATCTATCCATCCACCTATCTATCATCTATCTATCTATCTATCTATCTATCTATCTATCTATCTATCTATCTATCTATCTATCTACCTGCCTATCTATCTATCTATCTATCTATCTATCTATCTATCTATCTATCTATCATTTATCTGCTTTGGTGGAACAGTGGTTAGAATGCAGTATTGCAGCCTAATTCTGCCCACTGCCAGCTGTTCGATCCTGACCGGCTCAAGACTGACTCAGCCTCCCGTTCTTGCAAGTTGGGTAAAATGAGGACCCAGATTCTTTGGGGCAAAAGGCTGACTCTGTAAAGCTGCTTAGAGAGGGCTGTAGAAGCACTTTGAAGCGGAATATAAGTCTAAAGGATATGGCTTGTGTGTCTGGGCCCTTTCTCTGCTAATTCTGAGGATGTAACTTGGGCCAGACTGGAGCCCCCGTATTCTAGTGGAGCAGCCTTGTGTGGGAGCCGGCGTGACACGGAGCCGCACAAACTTGATCCTGGGTGCCTCTGTTTCCCTTTCGCACAGGCAAAGTGAGCGCCAGTGACATCAAACGGGTGGCAACGAAGATGCTGCGGAAGAAGCCGGCCGTCGCCGCCCTGGGGGACTTGCGGGAGCTGCCCAGCTACGAGCACATCCAGGGCGCCCTTTCCAGCAAAGACGGGCGGCTTCCCAGGGTGTACCGGCTGTTCCGTTAAAAGTGGCAGCTGCCCCACCAAGACGCTTGGTTGAGACGAGCCGTTGCTTGCCAAGGAACTTCTCACCTGCCGGGAGGGCGGCCCTGGGCATCGGAGGAGGGTGGTTGGCGGAGCCGTTTCCAGGTGCCTGTTCAAATTCTGTTCATCCTCAAGATAACTTATTTTGGGAGATTCAAAACTTAAATAAGAAGATGGCAGGCCGGATGGTTGAAGAAAGCTGCTCCTACACACCAGATTGCTATTTTGGTATTCCAAATTCCTGTCCTTGTTTGATTGGTCTTGAATGAAGGGACAATGAAGTCTGGTGCAATCCATGGCGAAGAATACTGATAAAGAGAGTTAATGAGGGTGCTACACCGTTGCATGTTGGCCTTTGTTTCCAAAATTAAGTTTAAACTATGAGGGGTAAATCAAGAGTGCAATTGTATTTTGAATTTGGAGGAACAAAACTGAATTTCAAGATTGGTAGATTTATTCAGAGTCTACGTTGTGTCTTTAGTTGCGATAAGACAGTTTTTGAAGTGACATTTTTTCCCCGTTACGCTTGACCCAAGATGAGAACTCTTCTCCTATAAATAGTCCTTGAATTAGGACCAAAATTTGCACCAGAATTTCTGTTGTAAGTTGTCATAAAGTGAGACATCATGTGATGGGAATGGGACACCTCGGCATGGCCAATTTGCTGCAGCCAACTAACCATGGCCAACTCGCCACAGGACAACTCACTGCAGGATAATTTTACGAATTCTATTTAATTAATTAAAATAAATAAGTTTTGCCATTCACATTTTATTCTGCACCTCCTTCTGCATCCTTTCTTTAATGATTCTATCCCATCATTTCTTTGATATTAATGTAACTCTTATTCTGTAGTCAGTTGTCTTGCGGCGAGTTGGCTGTGTGGTGAGGTAGCCATGGTGAGTTGACCGTGGCAAATTGCCACAGACCCTCATGTGGCCAGATCTGACTTCACAACCATCTTTACAGTGATAGTAACTCAAGTCACCGCACTCGCAAGTGTGAATCCAGCTTAACCGTTATTTTTGTCAGAAACTGGTGCAACTGGTTGTACGTGAGAGCCAGTTGCCAAATGCTCAAATTGCAGTGATGGGACTGCAGAGTGAAGGTCATAGTTCAAATTTAAGTTACATAGCTGACTTTTTTCCGGAGGCCATCATTATTTTGAGCCATCTGAAGTCGAGAAGTACTTAGAATGCTCTAGAACCACACATTACATTATTGGTCCAGTTCAGGGGGTGTCAAGCTCGATTTCATTGAGGGCCGCATCAGGGTTGGGGGGGGGGTCGGGGGGGGCGTGGCCAGCTCGATGTCCCTCGTGTTGGGGCTGCCTGTGGGGGGCCGAGAGCTCAGCCAGCAAAAACGGACGGCAGAGCTCCGGATTCAGCTGCAATGGCCTCCTGCAACCCTCTGCCAGCGAAAATGGAGCTCACGAGGGCCACATGCAGCTGGCAAGAGGTGCCCAGGGTGGTCCCACGGGCCAGATCTGGGCCTTGAGTTTGACACCCCTGGTCCAGTTCATTGTGCATTTCATGTGTCTCGTCCCCCCCCCCTCCCCAAAGCCTGGGGAAACCCTGTTCTGCAGGGAGAGACTCTTCTCTCGCAGTCTGTTGGCTGACAGAATCCTTTTTCCAATGCAACAAGGAATTTCTGTTGAGATGAAGGGATTCTGGTCTAATGGCAGAGGCAGGAGAGGACTGAAAACGGCCTGAAGCATCAGCTCAATAAGTACCCAGTTACCTTCCTCTTCCCTTGAGGGATTCTTTGCCAGCCTCCTTGTCCTCTCCAGCAGGATGGCTGATGGCTGATCCCGTGGGGAGCAAAGGAGATGCTGGGGTGGAATCTTGGGTGCATTTACGAGACTTGGAATTTGCTAGGGAACACCCAGATTTCCTTTATGGAGTTGCCACGTTGCAGGCTGGAAGAATGCTGTGGGACACGGCCCCCTGCCACAGTCCAGCACAACAAGCGACTCTCTTATGTTCTGAATCTTGTATTACATGTTGAAAATACTGGACTTCCGCTGATGAGGATTTAAATTAGCTCCAGGTAGCAATACAGGTATATCAACAGTGCAGAGATTAAAGAAGCAGGCAACACACTAGGGACACATTTTTAGTTCTGGATCACCCTTTTATTTCAAGGGATTCTGAACCCAAACACAATCCAGAAAAATGATGGTTGACTAAACCTGAGGAGGGGAAAATATTTCTAGCAACTTATCAACCATTGGCATCGGTTAAAAAATGGCCTTTGCTGTTGAAAATACTGATTTTTGCAGCCACTCAAGGCTCTATGTTGATTGAAACTGGTTTCCAGTTTCTCTTAGTTAATGGATTTTTAAAAATGTAGCTGGTGAAAGCTGGTTTGTCTTGATTGAAGGTAAAAAACCCCACCCTATAAACTCCCATGCTGGTGCTTTTTTCCCTTGCCCCTCTGGCATATCAAGGGCCTTTCTAGAATTCTTAGGAAAAACGTTGGTTTGTGGGACCAAATGAGTGTGTCACTCACTTCCAAGCTGCAGCTGAACAAAACAAGGCTTGGAGAATGTGGCCCTTTGTTCCCAAGATGATCCTCAGAAGTGCCTTCCAAACCTAAGAAAGGCTTCTGGCTGGTGTAACACAGAAAACGCCAACGCCCTGCAGGGTTACTCCAGGACCCTCCTCAAGCAGCAGGATACAGGAAGAACGGCTTGTTGTCGAGCAGGGAGAAGCGGCACGCTGGGTGAATCTTGAGCCAACCCCCCGGGCTGCCCAGCTGTGTCCAGCCTCCAAAGAGCCCTTCGCTTTGGGGGTCCTGCTGAAGCCTCCCAACCCCAGCCTGGATTCAGAGGGGGAGCTGAAGGAGGCCTGGTCCACAAGCCCTTTTCACTTGCCTCAGAAGTCGGGGGTGCGTTGGGTCAGGAAACGGAACAGACGGTGCTGGATTTTTGGTTTTTCAGGGCTTGTTTTTTCTGAAGTTGCCTCGTGATCCGTCTCTTGATGCCAATCAAATAAAGTTCTCGATCAAACAGGCCTGCCGCCAGTGGGATGCTGTAGGTGAAGGGGACAAAGCATAAACCAGTGGTGAAAATTGAGCAGACAATCTGGGACCCATTCCAATAGTTGGGCCTCCCGATTCCTCATTTCATCTTTGCACAGCCTGGAAACACTAGCAGTACTTTGATTAAAATGACCCAAGTTTTTCCACCCCTTAATTGGGTCAGTAACCTTTCCACTCAATATGGGCCACTGTGCAACGGCACGGATGCCAACATAAAAATGGGCCTTTCTAAAAAAAAAAAAAAAATGATCCCAAGACCGTATGAGACCTTTCTAGGTTTAGCTATTCCATGAGATTTGGAATAGCTACAAACACAGAGACTGTATTAGAGGTTAGCAGACCCACCCAATTGCATAGAATGGTGGGTTTTATATCCCTGTCTGTCCCGGATACCCGTCTGCCTTCTGGCGGGTCTCATTCTGACAGACAGTTTCATCCCAACACAGAGCCAAAGCCTCAAATCCTCCTCCGCTCCTGATCCGGGCGGCCCGAGGGAGAAAGGCTGCCAGCTGGCTTCATCGCCCAGCCTCTCAAGGCGTCGCAGTGCATGAAACGTCGGGAGGAGGAAGCCTTCATTCAAAAGGCAGCACCCGCTGCTCCTTCTCAAGGATGGCCGTACTCACTTGTCCCTTCCGGGCCTGACTTTGACACGGAACAACCCATACACGGGGCGGTGATCGGAGGTTCTGATCCCAAAGCAGGCCGAGTACTTCACAGCCTGGATCTCATTCTGGTGGCGGCTTCGATGGATGACCCGGTCCTGGAGGAGAGACGGAAGATGAGCAGAGCAACCCCCCGGGAATCCTAACGGCTCCTGGGCAAACAGACCGGCCTGAGACCTCTGGCGCAGAGGCCTTCCGGAAGGTGGGGCGGTGGAGAGCCTGACACAGGGGCAGGGGGACCGGGCCCTGGGCGCTGCAGAACCTGGAGCTGCCGTGGACGTGACTTTGGGCAAAGAGCCTTGAGGTCTCCCTCTGTGGCTTCTAAGGGAGGTGAGCTTAATTCGCCCTGTTCCTTCCCACTGCCTATCGATGGAGGCAGGCGAGGAGGAGGAGGAGGGGTGGGGTGGGGGGCAGCTTCCTTGGGATGCTTAAGGGAGCAATTCCGAGGTCCGAAGAGGCACCATAAGGGAACGAACGCTTCAAGTGGCTTCGTGAATGTGTCCATGTTCTTCTCCTGACGCAATACTAGAGTCCCTTTAGAGGGGAGACTGAAGGAAGGAAGGAAGGAAGGAAGGAAGGAAGGAAGGAAGGAAGGAAGGAAGGAAGGAAGGAAGGAGACGAGTTTCTCACTCTCGCGCCCAAGGCCTTTAACCATTGGGCCACCTCAGCTCTTGCCTAAGGAAAAGGTGACCCAAGCCAGCCTCCTCCTTTGTGTCATTCACCTGACCCTTTTTTGGCCAGGCAGGCTTCTATGGCCAAAGGCTCTAGGCCAGGGCAGGCCAGCTTTCTGCACCAAGGGGGCTGTATATGGAGCAGCTGGGGGGAGGCGGAGGGGGGGCCCTTCCACTCTCTCCCTCTGATGCACCCAGCCTTCGGGGGCAGGATGTTCTCTCGTCCCTCAAAACGGATTGTGGAGAGGGGGGAGGCATGGCTG